TCATTTTGACTTTTTTTTTCTGCTTCTCTTCTTAGCAGATGGAGAGCATCTTCAAGTCTGCTTTCTGTCTATGAAACAAACAAAAACAAATAAACAAAAAACCCGGGGGAAAACGTGGGGGCCTTTTCTGGTGCGTTCACGGTGCCAAAACTGACGCGAGCAGATATTTTCCTCGATTTGTTTTCACTCAACACCCCTAGCAGAGCCACCGCTGCGTGAAAGCAGGGTGAGACAGCTGTGGGTGACACAACGCGCAAAAAAGCGTGCTGTGAAATCTGCAGGTACTGAGCTCAAACGAAAATAAAGTGGCTGTGATGTTTATCTCAGCTTCCCAGCACCGAGACAACCAGCCTCCTTTTTTTAAAGTTGCCTATTTCCTGCCATTACACTGCTGACATTATTCCTCCTGTTTCCCCATCGATTCTTTTTCTTCTTTCTTTTTAACATCATCTGTTCCGTCTCCTATTTGACCTTTTGTCTTGTCAACCTTTGCAATGTTTCCCCTCTGTTATGGCTTTAATTTTCTCCTCTGAAAAACGAGCGAGGCGCACTGTCACGTTCACTTCCGTTCTTCATTTCCCCGAGACCTTTCTACCCTTGTCTCCTATGATTACATGAAAGGATGACTTCTCGTTGTTTTGTTCGGTCATGAATAACACATTAATGTCTGGGCTACAGGAACACAGAGAGACTCACAGCTTGAATGTAAAGCTGAAGAAGACGATTCCTCCAGGATGTTTTAGGTTTCACCGAAAAAGAAACGACGACGTTTCTGCTCTGTCAGCAGTGAATGTTTCTATTCCTTCCGGTGCAGAAAATCATAAAATATTGACACTTTGGGCAGCAATATCACTCAGCTAGCCTGCGTTCGGCGTATCCATGGTAACTGACTGTTGCCATGGACGTTGGATGGGCGCAGTCGCCGCCATTTTCTTTATTGAGTTCACTGCACCGCGTTGAGGTGGACATTTACTGTATTGCTTAGTGTGTATCAGTACCAATGAGAATTTTTAATCATTGTTGTCACAATAAATTTGAATTAGTGATTTAAAAAAAAGCTAAAAGATTCTTAATTTTACTATTTTTTCTACTAAACAATGTCTTCATTCTTGGTATACATACTAATTATGTGCCTACAGTGGGAAATATTTTGTTCTGTTAAATAAACCTTAACAGAAATATTCTCTGGTGTTTCCATGCAGGTTAGATTTGACCCCGATTTGCTCAAGAAGTACGCTTAAATGGTGGCAAACATTTGTGTCTATTTGGTCTGAGACGTTTGTGACCCGTTGGTTTGACACGCACAAAATTAAAATCTGTGAATAATAGGTACATGCTGCATTCAATATGTTATGTTTGAATAAGTGTCAAAACAGCATCCTGTTGACAATGGATCCTAAATTATAAAAAAAATGTGCAAAAGTTTTGTTGTCACTTTTATTTATGTATTCACAATGCGTCTCATACACACTTCATTTAGGAAACTGCTGCATTGTATTTCTTTCTTTCTTTCTTTTTTTTTTGCCAGTCTTAAGTTAATATTTATTATGCTATGCCATCATTTTTCCCTCTAACTTGTGTCTGAATAATGGTAAAATAAAAGTAACATGAACATAGCATAACCCAAGTGCAGCAGAAAAAGTCTTCCCCTTCTGCTTTACCTCCCTCATCAAATTATCCACTTTGCTCCTCTTCTTGGCCAGCTTATCCTTTTATCTAATAAACGCTATGAAGGCTTATTTCTTCTTCTCTCCCTCTCTTTGTTTAGGCCTGGTGGCCACGATAAAGGAGCACATCACCAAGCCCACAGCGATGGCCCAGGGGCGAGTCGCTCACCTGATTGAGTGGAAAGGTTGGGGTGGATGCGGCGAGGGTGGAGGGAACAGGGCCGGGTGGAGCGGAGGCTGGAGTAAAGGAGGCGGCGGATGGGGGTCCGTGGGGACGGAGCTGCAGGAGGATGAGCAGTTTTACTCCCAAATGACGGATGAAATCAAGGAGGCGCGATTTGCTGCAGGTGAAGCAAAGGGATGGGTTTGATTTAGGTAAAACAAAAGGTGGTGAAGCAGAAAGGTGGTGGTTGGGGGCTGGAGGGCTCCGACCTCTCTGGCATTGCTTCTGTTTGATTACCCCAGGCCACATAGATCAATAACCCGAAGGGCTTCCCAGGACAGTGGCTTAAATCTACTGCTCTTATTGAGTTTTCTCTAATGTGTGACGTCCGCTAGACCTTTTGAGAAACGACGAGGAGGTCGACTCATGAGAAAACCGATGGAAAACATGTTTATGTTTTTGCTTCCCAGGCGTGGCGGAACAGTTCGCCCTTGCCGAGGCGGCGATGAACATGTGGACCATGAGCGACAACGTGGAGCAGCCGTCCACCAGCTCCCAAGGTTGGTGAGTCACCACAACTTTTATGCCCTGAGACGTTTTATCAGGAGAAAAGTTCACAGAATACAAATGAAGCAGCAGATTTTGAAAAAAAAAATAATCTACATTTTTTTCTCCAATGGCTTTGGCTGATTACAATCACAAGCTCATCATTTGAAGGCTTCCATTTTCTCTAATAGGTTTTTGAGTGAAAAGATTTTCAGAAGGACCGGAGGGTGAAAGTCTGAATGAAATCGTGATTCCACAAATAACGTTCAGGCCCTTCCAGTTTGACGCGCTGCAGCGTGACAACGAACCACAGCAGCTGAAAATGTAACAAATGGAGCAACTTTGGACCCCAGTTGAATCTCCACTGGACCACCTGGTGTGAAAAAAACACTCAAGTCTTTCATGGCTTCTGCTTTTGGAGCAATTTTTGTTGGGCAGGCCGCTCCTGGGAACCTGCACCACTCTTCCATGTTTTCTCTGCAGAAGACAAAAACCTCCTTTAAAAAAAATCATTAATTGTTTAAAAACTTAATTTTGTGTTTATTATAACACTTATTGGTTTTAAAATTTGTTTGATCTGAAACACTTTAGTGTAAAAAAAAGCACTTTTTCCAGCGCACTGTAAAAATGATGAAATTCAGCCAATGCCACATGAAAAACAACTTGTTTGATGGCTGCTGGGTCTGCATTTATTGTCGTTACTCAAGTGCCGCTCCAGATTGCAGCCACATACTGCGCGGTTCAAATCGGTGCTTCTACTGCAAGAAATTTACTTGCAAATGTAAACCTGAGAAGCTCCAGCTGTGATTGTTTTCACTGCTTATTTCATTTTGTTGTTGTTGTTGTTTGAGCAACTCGCTGACATTGCCGTCGTTTTTCAGCCGCAGAGGGCCACTTCCTGTCCAAGTATTTGCTTGACGGAGGAAGCGTCGGCGTGCCCCAGCACCTGTACAGCAGTCACACCCAGACTTACGGTGACGGCGATGCGACCAGCCTGATTCGCCCGCCGCTGGCCAACTCGACGCTTCCCCCGGCCCCCGGCGCCCGGTGGGGCCCCGATCCTCCCTTTGAGGACAGGAGCACGGCGACGGCGGAAGCCGCCGTCCGCCACGTCGACAGCAGCTCTCTGTCTGAGGACGACGTTTTTTACAACTAGGCTTGAAGACAAAAGACACTGGTCGCTGCAGTGGAAGCGTCTGTGAGATTCAGGGGAGGCCGCGAGCCTCGTCCACCAGCAATGATTGTCCTGTAAGACATTTCCTGAGGCAAAACTCCTCGAAATGTATCAAACGGACGGATTTAAAGGCCTGACTATAAGTACTATTTTTTACATAAGTGAGGGTAGGCCTGTTCTTCATGTGAATGTACAGTTTAAATGTGACATTTTAGTTTTTTATTCTATGTAGAAAACAGCTGGAGCTGAGCTGCAAAGAGTTGGTGTAAATATGTTGTCATAAAGCGTTGGTTTTAATATATATGTGACAAATATGGCTGCCTGGTTTTGTTAGTCATTTTCTTTCTTCTGATTCAGTTCATTCATATGATTCAGTTCATTCATATGATGCCAATTCACAGCAAACATCACTACAATCACACACAGATTCCGATCCCAGTTATCAAAAGTTACTGTATCTGAGAAAAAACAAGAAATTGCATCGAGTCATTGACTTGGCAGCAATGCCTCACAATGAGCATGCATGGAGCAACAATGGAGAGGAAAACTCCCTTTTAACAGGAAGAAAGCTCCAGCAGAATCAGAACTACTGCAGCTTAGAAAAGACAGAGAAGAGATGCATGAGAAATAGATGAATTAATGTGGTATTATTTTCAATATTCATGAAAGTAAAAAGATAACATAGCAGGGGAGGGAGAACGATGAATTCAGTCCATGAGTTCAGAGCTGACCTTGACTAAATGAGAATGACAGAAAAAAAGAAAAGTCTGTCCTCTAAGATTTCTCAACTGAAAAAAAATAGTCCTCCATCCAATTATCTGTCTGAGTCAGAAACATGATTAGCTATAATTCACACTTTTCCTTCTGAAAGCCCCAGGTGCTGCGAGGAGAAAAGGCAAGGTTTAGGAAATGCAGCGAGGGAGGAGAGGAGCCGCTCACGCGTCATTGGTGTGTGTTTCTGTAAGTACGTCAGCTGCCCTGCGTGTCACAGAGCGACAGAGAGAGACGCTGAAAGGAGCGGTTGGCGCGACCTGTCATCATAATCTTTCGAGGGACGTCTTTACAAAATGACGCTGTGCTTCCCCCCTGTTGTTTGAGGAGATCAGAGCGTAGATGCACTTGAACAAATGGTTTCCAGTGACTCACCACAGCCCTTCAGCAAAGTGCAGAAGAAATGATGGTCTATTTCCTCTCTGCAACGTAACATGTGGGGTTATTTAGGAAGCAGACACGACACTGAGAGGCGAAGGAAATATGTGCATTAGAATGTTTTAGTGAAAATATTGTGAAAAACGTTTTGAACCATCTTTAGCATTTTTGTTTAAAATTCAGATGAGAAATTTTCCTGAACTTAGACGTCTTTAAAATAACTTTGATCAACAACTTTTCCAGGGTTTTCAGGGTTTTCCACAGGCTCGTCTGCGAGAATGTCACTGGATTGGTTCGAAGTTGGAAAAGCTCATCTCATCGAGAAGGCAGGTCTGACACCACTACAGTAGGATGTTACCTCACAAACTGAAACATCTCTAAAATAATGAGAGGTCTCTGCGCCTTCACAGCCACGTTCGGCTAAACAAACAGAGCGGAACAGTCCACAGCACAGCATTCATTCACACCTTCAGTGTGTTTCATTGGGATTTTATCCAAGATGCCAACATAAATAGTGCATAATTGTGAGAAAGAATATATATAATATGCTCTGTTATGCACTGTCCCATCACACAAATGTGTGGCACAAAAGCAAACACTGAGTGAGACTTGGTTACCAGAAGAAGAAGACATAGCACAGATTTCATTGTGGTGTATAATCTATTTATCTCATTACCATGTCAAAAAGCACAGAATGATGTTGTGCGCTCTCTCTCTTTTCTGGACCCATCACCACTGATCACAATTAAGGGCAAAAAAAAAAAAAGCTTTAATGAATATTTACCATCGGAGTCGACAGTTAATTACAGTTTTGTCGATGTGCAAACACTTGGGGGATGAAGAAGTGGTAGCATTATCGGATGTGGGCTTTGCCGCATGTTAATCAGAGAGAGACGCCATTCATGTGGGGTTCAATTTTATGACAGGAAGTGCTGATCCCATGTTGACAAAGCTCAGATTTCCTTGGCCAAGCCTTCCAAAATTTGTTTCATCTGAAAAAAGAGAGAGATAGAGCTGCAAAACTTTGACCAACTATTTGCTTCCCTGATGATAAATGCATCAGAGGTCGAAGTATTTGTGGGGAAGAGTAAAAATTCACATATTCTTCAGTAGTTCGTACCTCTGACCATGTGATCTGTCCCACCAGCTTTCCTCTATCAGCCACAAATACAGTCTGGGCTGGAGCAACACTCAGCATGTTGTAGGCCTGAAACGGAAGAAAAAGAAACTCCAGATTTAAAGAAGAAAAAAAATTTGTGTGCATCATCATTTTCTGCTTATCAAAAAGGAATAAATCTACTTATGCGTAGAAATGTGTTGGTTCTCCTCGTGGCATCTTGTAAAAACCTTACATATTTTTAATTGTTGTACCAAAGTTTTGCGGTAAAAAAAAAAACAACAAAAATCCAACCTGTAAATTTAGTACATATGTGGCAAAAAAAAATCCTTGTTGAGAAATACAGTTTCTTGAGGTTTTCCCCAAAGAATGGAAATTGTCTGACTAATTAAGATTATGTTTCTGTCTGTGTTTCAGGTTGGCGTTTTTGATTTCAACAGTGTTTCCGATGACAAATGTTCACTCTAAAAAAACCATCAAGACTATATTGTCCTTTTCCTCATGGTTTTCAGACTCAAGTGAGGTTGTTTTCATCCAGCTCCTGAGTACAATTACTGATCTTTGTGCCATGCTGTTGGTCCTCAGAGTCCAGAGGGACATGCGTGCCTCGTGTGCTAAAAGCTGCGCTGAGCTCTATCAATCTGCTGCTCGGTGGCCTGCTGCACAAGGATGTGTCTGTTGCTCAAAGCCAGCTGCCTGCCTGGACCCACACATGAAATGCTGCAAAAAATCCCGCAGATTCTGGGAATGATTCTCAGAAGGCTCGCTTTGAGTGCCACAAAGCATGTAACCCTGAATCAAGACCACGTCAAAGTCAAAACGGTTTTGTATTAACATGAGAAAGGAGACACACTTGCAGTTGATGCCTCTTATTCACGCAGTGAATAAAATACTTTTGATCTGTTAAGTGCAAAAATCTCAGTTCACTTGATATTTGTAACTAACTCACAAATCTCCAGCAAGATATAGGAGATTGTTTTAAGCTAATAATTCCTTATTATTTATGAATAAGTACTAGTACTAGTACTAGTTTTTATTTTGTTCTCTAAATCTACAGTAAGTGTTCATGTGAATTCACATCCCACATTTCCAGCCAGTCTGCAACTTTAAAAAATGCAAACACTTTTTGCTTGATAAATGTGAGCAATACTTGAGATCATGAGACGAACTGAAGAAGTCATTTAAAACGCATTCTGGCCATTTGTCACCATCTGATCACCAATCTGGGCCAGTCAAGGATCAGATCGACTAATTTTATGGCGCGCGGCGACTGTTCAGAAGACGCCCAGCAGAGACTTCGGGTCTTCTTCCACACAGCCGTTACTCAGTCTGTCCACATCCAGTGTGTGGTTCTGCTCGGATACAAAAAGCATGACAGGACCAGACTGTAACAAGGAATCAGGTCTGAAGAGTGGATCATCTGGGCTGACAATCCCCCCCCCTTTCAGGATTTGCACGGGACCGTACACATCCTGGACACAAACTGTTTGGATTTATCCCTTTGGATCAGAGCCACAGATCGCTATTTGCTAAAACAAAGCACTATAGAGACAGTTTCTTTGATAAATTTGCCTTTCCGATAAGCATTTAAGAGTCCCAGAGTAAACAGATTGATAATGCAACACTCAACAATCTTCTTTAGTAAGAAATCTGTGCATATTTACATATTTATGGAGGAAAAAAAGTTTTCGCCAGCAATTTGATCTATTTGCAAACCAAATTCCAATGAAGTTAGGAAATTGAGTAAAATGAGACGAATCCCTGTCAACCTATATTCAAGTTGAGTACACAACAAAGAAGAAATATGTAAGGTTCATTGAAAATGTGCCACATTGTGACATTTGTTGTTTGAGAATAAAGTAAAAAAGATAAAGACATAGTAACATAAGAATAAAGTCATAATATTGTGAGTTTATTCTTGTAATTTCATGACTATATATTTCATTTTTGCTAGCATTGCTCTAATAGTCTGTCTACTGAAGTTATACACCCAGAAATAACGGGGAAACATTTCACCTACAAAGCTTGAAAAATTAGTCCTCTGTTCCCAAATGCTTATCAAGTGTTACAGGAAAAGTGAGGTAGCTCAGTGCTAAACATGCCCCAGTCTTTGAAGTGTATTCAATTGAATATGGGCTGAAAAGGATTTACTCAAAAACATGTTAATCAACATGGGTTGTAACATGTTTTTACATGTTTACAATGCAAAAAGTTCAAAATCGTACTAAGTATTTTTTTTTGTCTATTTCTACTGCAAATGTCTTTGCTCACTTGAAAAAAAACAGAGCTAACTTACAAGACTCTTCTCGGCAAGATTCAGGAGTTTGATTTTTGTTAATAAATTGTTAATGTTGATAAAATGTACTGGTTCCACTGGCAGATTTTTCCACTCATTACAAAATATTTTGCTAATGTTAAAAGTGAAATAATCTGCCAGTGAAACTAATGCTTTTTTATTACTGACTTGACATAAATTCCTGTACCTTGCTGATAATTCATGTTCAAGTCAGTTTTGTCTAAAGTGTGCTAATATGTTTGCACTAGAAACTAGACAAAAACACTTGGTAAGATTTTGTGTTTTTGTAGCGTAAAGGTGAAACCCCAGACTCAGTCTGAAGTTGATTTAGTGTGTTATGCATCTCCTTACCTCCTGCACTGTGTTGTGAGGCGACACCACGACTGAGTTTGGATGTATGCTGCAAACCTCGTCCAGTCGTCCCTCAATGCGCTGCGCAAAAGCAATAATCATTCAATTATCGCTGAGGCTGAGGTCGGATTCAACCTCGGCTGTTTTCACTGACCTCTTAAAAGTCTCTTTTCACATATTCTTAAACTTAATCCCCGACCAGAGCTGTGGTGCAATTATTTGACAAGCAGCATTTATTTATGAATAGATGTTGCCTTCAGATGGATGTGAGCTGTGATACAATGAGTTTTTACGTCAGACTCTCTGCAGTCCTGTCTGTGATTTATGCTTCCATCTTCCATTTTTTTTTCACCCAGGAGGATTTCAAAGACAAGGATCGCTTTCTAAACAGCTCCTCTACGCCTTGCAGCAGTCCCTGCGTTTGCATGCACCCGTTTACCTGAGTCTGACAGCGATGCAGGAACAGCAGCAGCTCTGACCGCAGAACGGAGCCCAGAAAAACCTGCGACTCTGACAAAAACAAAGCAGAACCAGAAAAGGTGACATTTTCTTCATGGGTGGTGTAAAAGTACGGATATCAGTATATTGATGGCTCAAAAGTTCCAGACATAAAAATTGCCCCATTTGATTGCTGCTGAAAGGCTCAGAAGTCTATTTTCACAAAATCGTCTTCTCTGTGAGGACTTTCACTCCGCTGAACTGTTTCAGTCAGTCTCACAGAATAAAAGTGAGTTTCACAATACTTTCTGAAGACCAATGTAGATTTTGTGTATGTAGTCCGTCACACTTCTCCTGTCTTTGCTTTTTTTGTGGGTTGTGGTCTGAGTCGGTGGAGTGTGTGTAAATCTACAGCTCTTTGCGTACCGTGTGCGTCCACCACAGGGATTCGTGCTTCACTGCTGTTGCTGACAGCAGACTGAACCTCTGCTGGGCCAGCTGCTTTCTGAAGCCGCACTGATTTCACCCCCATAACCTGCCCCAGTGGTGTGGAGGGAAGCCTGAGAGGACACAAATTACACAAAGCCTCAGACAAAACCATCTAGTGATGTTACAAATGTACAATCAGACAGGAAAACAGAATAATATGTCTTCCAACCGTTGATTTTACTGAATTCAGATTTTGACACAATTCAGCTGTAACGACACGTAACATATCTCATATTATATATTTATGTTTTATTTTTTCTTTAAATAAAGAATAATGGGCAGAAAAAATAAGACAAAAAGAGGAATGTGGGCAGGGCAGGATTTAGAGTAAGTTCATATTCTGCATAATTCCTTTTCAAGCAACTTGTTATGAAAAAAAATTATACTATTTTTTGATGGTATTTGAATTGTGAATATGTTTGGAATAAATAAATAAACTAAACTGCACTCCATTTTTTCTGTAAATTGTAGATTATCTATCTATCTATCTATCTATCTATCTATCTATCTATCTATCTATCTATCTATCTATCTATCTATCTATCTATCTATCTATCTATCTATCTATCTATCTATCTACTTATTTATAGGTGCCTTTCTCAACATTCAAGAACAAAATACATAAAATCAATTGAAAAATACAAAAATAAAATAATCACTTGACCTATGTGAAAGGTCGCTGATCCTTTCACAGGCATAAACAACAAACTCGCTGGTGTCAATCTAAAACATTTAGAAAGCAATTGCTGTTAATAAAGTCTTAAAACAATGTGAAAGAAATTAAACAAATCTTCACCTCAATCTCTTAGATTCTAGTTGGCTCTCTAAGCTTAGAGTTGAGGTAATCCCCATTAAATTTGTCATTATTGAATAATTTTCCCTGTGGTTCTCCTTACTGTGGACACGCCTTCTTCAACGAGGGCAGGTGCGGGAGCTTCTTACTGATAGAAAGGCCATCGTAGAAAGACGGGCGGTTCCCGGAGCGTGCCAGGGCGTTGGCCAGCAGAGTGGACAGGAGGACAGGGACAGCGTGGGTGACCTGCCCTGTCAACTCCACAGCCAGCAGAGCCGGGGACAGAGTGTGGGTGGCAGCACCAGAGAAGGCAGCTGCACCTGCGAGGCAGACGCAATGTTCAGTGCAGCTTCAGCACAAGCATTGCAAGTTTTGTGTAGAACTGTTAAAATAATGCATGCAATTATATGCATCCCGATATAAAATCCACTTAAGCCTAAAAACATACAAATATAGAGGATAAATTGTACTGTTCAAATCTGTTAATCTATTTTTTACATCTGCTTGAAGCAGATGAATCAGAAGGTAAATTTAACATGTTGCAGAGTTTTAAATATACAACAATAAAAATGTCTGTTTTTCATTGGCTAATATTTACTAAATTATCATGCAATACCACTTTTGTCTATTTCTAGTTATTTCAGTGACAAATTTAGGTTTTTCTGCCAAAAACAGAGAGGTAGCAACAATTTTGTCCACACATGTATATCAAGAGCAAAGAAATATAGATTTGATTGTTTTCTACCTGCAAGAGCATAGCCGCCAGGATTTACAGATGTCCACTGTTGTCCTAAAACATCTCTACCAGTGGTAATGTAGGCAACTCCCTCACCAAACAGACGACCCATAGTTGCACCTGAAGAAGAACAAAAAGCTCTCTGACTTTTTACACACACAGAATATCTAATGAGTTCCTGGTATGGACATAAACCAAGGTTTTCAAAGGTTTGTTTCAAATTCCACTTTAAAATTAAGACTACGCTTAATTCCAAAACCAAAGGTTTTCTGTCATTTTTGCAGGAGTCAGTGGACTTTTCTCTGGCTGTGTTAGACACAAGTTAATTCAGATTCATCCCTGCCCCACCTGTTGCTGCACACTTTCAGTCAGATACCTGAGTAAAGGCTAGTAGGCTTCATTCAGATATAAAGGCTTTCTTTCAAAGACAATGGCCAAAAGTGTTTTTTTTTTTTTTGTTTTTTTTTTGTTTTTGTCAAAAAATGATTTAGGCAAAAAATTAAATAAATAAAATCTCTTTGGCAAAATGTTCCATAAGGTAATAAGACCACTACAGTGATGATCCCCTTATTAATATCTAAAGCCTTTTTCAATCACAAATAATTTATCATGCTTTAATTGAAAATGAGAATGAGAAAAAATTCTGCTTCTTTCTTAGACATAATACACTAATTTGTGAGCATGATTAACATTTATAAACGTGTGTTTCAAGCAGTTAGTTTCAAGCACACTCACCATAGACAAACACAGGCATGAAGTATCCTGCTGGCAGAGGCAGCGTGCAGGCCAGGACCAACATCCACATCTCCGAGTCAACAACAGAGGAACAAGACGGTTAAATCCTTTCAGCTGTGCTGACACCTGCGCCGATGATGAGTCACTTGCAACTTGCACGCAGGGAAGTGTGTGTGGCAACTCAGTTTTTGCTCTCGTGAATACTGAATCGCTCTCATTTCCATTTGGATGCAGTATGAAGGAAGAGACTGTAGTAAACAAATCCCAAACGAACTGCATTCAAGTGTGTGTTGAATTTTCAATGAAGAGGGCGTCTGAAATTCCTCGAAAGGAACCAATTTCTGCATTCGAAATGTTTTCTTTGCATGAATGCATGAAAAAGAGTGAGTAAAATCACTCCTTGCATCTGCAGCAGTGGTGTCTAGATATTATGTGTCGGACAACATTTCTGCCTGAAAGGTTAAAATGGCTTTAGTTTGCATTTTCTATTATGAAAATGTTAATGCCTTTATGCCTTTGAGGAGTTGGAAGGCTGGTAGAAAAGAGCAGATCCATAATTGACCTTTGAATTATTTGTACCTTCATGAGCAGAAAGAAAGCCAAGGACAGGAAAATGGGGGCGCCTGACGAGCTCCACGCCAGTGTTTCCAGCTCCAGTCGCACAGATGCATTATGGGACTGAGAGCTCCATTGTCTGCTGTCCAGGAGGGAAGTGAGGAGCTGCTTTGTGGTGTACTGATACACAGATAAGTGACATTTAGATTACAGTCCGGCCCACCAAAGTGGGTGTGAAACAAACAAACCCATAAGAAACAAACCCATAAGAAAGACAGTGCTTATTTTTCCCTGAGATTTTTTTGGTCCGTGAGCTAAAATGAATTTGGGGTGCGTCCACCACAGATCAGCTGCTTCATGCTATCCATGTTCAAAAGATTATACATTACACACACACATTATTGATCATTTTCGAAAATGTTTTAAAAATGAACGTCTGGGAAGAGAGGGATGCACATGTATTCAGCCTGCTCTCCTCTTTAAAATCCAATTGTAAATGGGATCCACTCATGTGCTTTTTCACCTCATTGAAACTTCTCAGAAGTTTGTTAGAGAACAAACTGGAAATGGAGAGAGGCACGAAGACCAAGGAACACAGGAGGTTAGGAGGCTGAATAAATATGTACGTATCCTTCTCTAGGTACAGAAAAGTCAAAGAATACCCCTATTTTAAACAATTTACCCATAACAAATAATAGATGCAGCTTATTGATTGTGTGGCTAAGCTTTTAAATGCTTTTGACTCTCACCTTAGAGGCCATGTATTGACCTGCAGAGTGGGGAAACGTCAGCGATGCCAGAAAGAAAACAACAAGACCAGAGTACAGACCCTTTCTGCAGAGAGGTTTTCACGCAAAAAAGACATTTGATCATTATGGATGCTTTTAAAAGACTGTGCAGGTGACTCATTACTGCCTCACAGACACATTGTAAAGAAGCCTCACTCTGTTGTCAGCATCGTGGAGAAGAGCCGGTTGGTTTTGGTGAACTTCAGGATCCAGCGGTGGCAGAAGAGGTAGCATCGGCTCACAGCCCCGCACGCCAGCCTGTTTTCAGACAGCGACACAGTCCAGAATGAGAAACCTGGGAGCCATTTTCATTCAGGCAGCAAACGATGATCGGAAGTCATTAGACCCGGGGAATAGTCGCAGAGGAGGCCAGGAAATGATATTGAGAGGAGGAGAAAAAAAACTAAAACTGCTCATTAAAACTGAAGGAAAACACAGGGGACCTTATTCTCCGTGCGACTGATATTAATATCAAAATCAAATGTCAGTTTTTATTAGGCAGCCAAAGACAAACTGAGGTTTTGTTTAGCTAAGCAGAAGCTGTCATAGTCGACGAACCCCAGTAAAGCAAACAGCAAGATCTCCAGTGTGAAGAAAGGTGAAGCGGTGGGGAAATTGGTTTGGAACAACGTCTGAAGAGTCTCTGCGGACACAAAGCAAATTGGAATCAACAGTCGGGGAAAGATCTAATATTCATTCTTTGTTATTGCACTGATGTTTTCATAAAATTTACAGTTAGCCCAAATGTATTGGATAGTTTTTTTCGAAGTAATTGACACTGCAAGTTATTCCATTATTTACAACACTGCTGACGAGTGAACATGTTAAAGTCATATACCTGTAGATCAGGCCTTGTTCTTTGAAACAGATGATGTTTCTGTGCTCCATTAAGGGAGTAGTTTGAAATTGTTGAGGTTCAGTTGAGAGGTTAGTTGGCTAGTAACTAGTTTATATTTACTTAAATGACATTTTAGAAAAATGTACACATCGAATCCAGAAAACACTGACGTTGCGTTTCGATCGACAGACCCTTCACCTCCATCTCTGCTCCACGCCGACAGCAGGTGGAAGGTCAGAGCCCCGCAGGCAGCTGAGAAGAAACATGGGCAGTAATGCCTCAGGGCAAAGTGAGAGCTCATCACCTCCACGCTGAACAGCACACCTACACCACAAATGGACAAAAAGATACTACAAATACGTACATTCATAGTGTTTTCAGATAGTTGCATATTAAGAATTGCTTTATCAGTATTTTTCAAAGTCCTCTGGTGGTCCTTCAAAATTTTTTGATGTCTTGTGACTGTTTGTCTAACATCATTATCAGATTATTGGTTTTGGTTATGTGCAATACGGTTCTCTGCCCAGGGCGCCATCAGAGCATGACACACTCATTCAAAAAGAGAAAACGTTTTTTTCATTGCATGTGTCAATGGTGATGGGGCGCCCCCTTGTGTTTTTACAGTGTAAGCACTGTAAACATAGAAAAGTTGAAAAGTGATCTATGAACATAGATTCTTTGAAACATATTGCAAACTTATATATGCAGTGAAAAATAGAAAATGACTTAATTTAATTATGTTTTGCTTAACATGAACACTTCATGAACTTAATATATTTACTTGGATAAACTAAATTTTATCACTTTACAAAATTAACTACAATTTTTAAGTTGGATCACTGTTTTTTTGTTTTTCTTCAGTGTGTTAAAAAGCTAAATAAATCAATAAAATTATGATTGTGTTTTGACATTTTACCTTACAATAAACTTGCTTCAAAACTTTGAAGTAGAGCACAGAATAATTACACCTGGGCCTACACCTTGTTGTTTCTTCACTGATTACAAAATATGTAAAAATGTAAAACAACAACAAAAAAAGAGTACTGTGCAGAGTAGGAAGGGCTCAGATACCTTTTCTGCAAGAGCTATGTAAGATGCATTACATTTATTTGACGTAAACCAGTGCAGCACATGCAGTAAATATATTCTTTACATCAGTTTCTCTCACCACTGATGGGCGCTCCAAAGCAGCTTGCTACTCCAACCCCAGCAGCTACAACCATCATCTCTGTTCCTGCCTCCTGGAGGTCATACAACACTTGTGGTGAACATTTTTCATTCAGACCTCCACATCTACACAAACTAACTGCAGCAGATATTTTGTGTTTTGAAAAACCATAACTTTTATTGATGAAATATAAAGAAAAAAATGGTGGGAAAGCCTAAATGATTTTCTGAAAATCTGTGGAAATAAATTTACCATGTGTGTACATTTAGACTTAAATAGAATGAAAGTATAGGATGTAAACATTTGATCATATTACTGGTTTTACCTTCTTTTTGCCTTGCATGAGTCTGCAAAGCCTGTCCAAATAGACTCCTAACATGGTGGAAAGATGCACAAATGGACCCTGAATTGAAGAGATTAAGGGGCATAAAGTTGCATGAGTACATCTGTATTCTGGTTCCTGTGTAGAAAATTGTTGCTCCAAGTCATTACTTACAACTTTGCCAAGGAAAACAGTGCTGCCTGCAGCCAGTGTGCAGATAAGACCCAGAAACTTAGTGAACATATGAGTGAGAGACGAGTAATGAGGCAGTTCAATGCCGGACAGCATGGTTCTCACTTCTGGAATACCAGAGCCTGAGCACAAATAATAGTGGAACATAAACCAAAAGGTAGAATAACGATTGAAAAAAACACTAAAACCAGATTTAGCTTAAAATAATATTTTAGGGATTCTGAGAAAGGGAGGAACATCAAGGATAGTCAAAGAGGCTGAAATTAGCTTTGTAGACTATTTAGTTTGCTGATGTAAAGAAGTTTATCCAATCTTAAGTCACAGTCTTTCACTGGAAGAGAAAGATAAAGAAGAAACTACTTAATGTTGCCACAATATGCTATATTGTCAAAAGTATTTGCCCACCTGTCTTGACTCACATATGAGATTTAGTGACATCCCATTCCTAATCCATAGGCTTCAATCTGACTTTGGACCACCCTTTACATCTGGATCAGCTTGAACACAATGCAGTCAGACAAGCATCAGTTCTCCTGGCGACCACCAAACCCAGACTCGTCCATCAGATTGCCAAATGGGGAAGCACGATTTGTTGCTCCAGAGAGCGCTCCTCCACTGTGCTAGAGTCCAGTGGCGGTGTACTTTAGACCTATGCACCCAACGTGGTGATATATGATATATGCTCGACCATGGCAATCCATTCCATGACGCTCTATGTTCACTGTTCTTGAGCTAATCTGAAGGCCACTGTAGTGATTGTCTCTGCAGAAAGTTGGCTATCTCTTCTCACTATGTGTTTTAGCTCTGTCAGTTTACGTGAGTTTACGTGACGCAAAACTCTGTGGTTGAGTTGCTGTTGTTCCCAAACGCTTCCATTTTCTTATATTACAGTATAATACAGTATAGTAACTGCTCGTGAACAAACCTGTGGAGAAGGGACAGATGTTATGGGATAAAGTTGAGGCAAAAGCACAGATGCATGCTGGGTATAGTGTCCAGCAGAGGAACTGCAGCAGAACATGGCCTTCCAGCTTCGCATAAAGCCACAGATGAGCTGAGGATGTAACAAAAGAGCACATAGTCATCCTCCTCTGCATTTCCACTTTTGTATTTGCTCTATATTTAATAAATATTCTTTCTTGCTAGATTGCCTTCCTCACCAATGAAGTCCGAACACAAATCAGGACTTTATGGAATAGTGCCAAGGAGAAACTTGTTGTCGAGATAAGGATTTTCAAAATGCTGTTTCAGGTTACCACAAGTCAAGCAGGGACACGTTATATGTGAAACAAACTTTCCTGGTCAGATGAGACCAAATATGGACTGTTTGAACACCACTCAAAAGGATAGAGGAAAATTAACACTACACCTCACCCTGAGTACATGATTCCCAAAGTGAAACATGATACTTGTAGCATCATAATGTCTGGATGCTTTTCCTCAGCCGGGATGTTAATGAGACTTTATGGGAAGAGGGATGGAGCTAAATACCAGAAAATCTTGGAAGTGAACCTTGTGGAGGCCACAAAAACTTAAAACTGTAATTCCAGCAGAACAATGGCCCTGAACAGAACCACAGCACTGCAGTTAATATTTTTGTCGTAAAAAAAATATTGAAAACCATTTAAGCGTACTTTTCCACCTCACAATTATGCATTCCAAAAAAATACCTTGAAGCTTCCATTTGTAATGAAAAATGTGAATACCTATGCCAGAAACCTTCTTATGCTGTCTTCGATTAAGAATCACAGAAGCTTACAATGTGAGAGTGTGTTTGTTTACCTCGTAGCAGCTTTGCTACACTGAAGTCCATAAAGAAACTTAGGAGAGCTGCCAAGATACCCAACATGGCGAATCCATACCACTGAATCCCACAGACGCTTTCCAAACAATCTCTCAGCTTTAACAGCTGCTCTTTAAAGACAAAAAGTTATGTGACAAATTGAAACACCTTTAACGTCTGCACCACACAAAGATTTCATTTCTTTTTGAAAAATTTCTCTGTAAGGGTTCTGACCACATTTGTAGTCAGAACCCTTAACTTTGTTATACTCGTTCATCGCTTATGCATTTCAGAAAACATAATTAACCTCTTTTGACCTTAAGTCTATGTTTGGAAATTTCACATTGACAAAACAGAAAATATTATTTCTCATCTTCATAAGTTTGATGCATGTTGACTAACTCGTCCAGAAACTTATCAATAGCTAAAATGAAATATTACAGACATTTTCTGGATTATTAGTCTGAACTAAAGATTTGATTGTTTTTCACATCACTAACCTTTAACATTTGCACGGGTTTTCTTGTACGGCTTCCATGAGTCCAGCAGAAGTGGGGTTATATTACGGGACGCTTCTGAGTTATTTTCTTGCTTCTGGCCATTAACTTCCTCCTCTGTTTCTATCTCCAGTGACTTATCAAAGCTCTTCATGTTGCCCTGAAATATAGTAAAATTCAGCAATCAAAATCTAAAATCATATCTACATGAGAGTGAAATATGAGTTTTTGAGGGAGGTGGACTCACCTTCTGCTCGGAAGTGCTCAGTTCTTCCAGTAAAGTTGTAAAAAGAAGTGCGTGTGGTGTAGCTAGGTGAGTATCTGGGTTGTGACTGACCTCTGTTAAGGTGTTCGCATAAATGTGATGGAGCGGTCATGCTTGAAAGCGTAGCTAATGTTAACTCTTTGGAGGAATATTTGAAGGTGACCTTCATTTAAATGCATGAACATAGTCAGCTTGTACAGTTTTTCACAGAATTGTATTGGCTCTATCGCTCTACAATTTTTGCATAAATAGAGTGTTAGATTGTAATTCCATCCATAAAAAAAAAATGTATTGCAATCACTTCCTTTTTTTTAGCATAGTTGTGTTTTGCTTTCCGGATCATTCAAATAAATATAATATAGCATGCGTTTGTTCATTCATTTATTCACTTTCTCATCACCAAAAAGTGCTTTTGATTATTAAATTGAGAAAAGTGACAAAACATCCACTTGCTCCTTCTGCATATTTGTCTCACCAATGATTTTTATTATTATTACATATATATATAAAACACAGTTTTGGACATGAATTATTATCCCTGCCTGGGCTTTATCCGAATGTTATGGTTTCAAATACCCTTTTCTAAGAACACCCCCAATCCTGTAATTGTTTCACACTTCTTATGAAATCAAAGTTCAGCCTCAGTGCCCTGTGGAAGGTCAATGTAATCATTGTTCACACCATTTGTCTTTTTTAATGAGCTCTTAGCTAATGTTTATCTTCCTCAGCTATTTATTCCATGTATGCTTTTAATTAGCACTTGTGTTATTTTTAGAGCCTTGAAATCAGCATGCTGCGAGCACCAGCCCTCCACAGCACCATCCATAGACACAAATACAGAGAGCGAGAGCTCTTCTCAGTGTAAAACTTGTTTCCATGGAAGCGGCACACAGAGACAAAGAGCGTGATGAAAATAACGCTCTTATTTTCATCATGCTCTTATTTTCATAAGTTATATATATGTAACTTATATATATATATAGATATAAACTTTATATGTGTGTATGCTGGTGCATGCGTGTGTGCGCGTATGTATTTCTAACCGACACTGATTAAAATATGTTTTGCCATTTGGCGAATATCGACAGAACAAAGAAAGAAAGTTAGGAATTTAAATACAAACTGTACCTGTGATCACCCAAGTTTCTTCTGAGACCAGAGGGAATCAAATGGTATTTAAAAAAAACAAAAAAAAAAACAAAGGAAACTCACAAATAAGTGAAATGGAACCAAAATGTATACGTTGAAGTTAACTCTTTTTTTGCATTATACCACATATATGTGTCCATACTGTCCATACATTTAACTGAGTGTCTAGGAGGGGGCAGAGGGAGCTTCCAGCTCTGCAGCTCCCCAAGTGGTGAGTAAAGGACATGCAAACTTTACAATAGCATCAGAAGAAAACATTTTGTCTCAAGTAAAGTCACTCAGTTTGCTTAAACCAGCAGTTTGATTTGGAGTGTGACATAGATAAAGGTTAGGCTAAGCCAAAAGTTATTAATATCCCTGGTAAGTTTAGCATATAAGTTATTATTATTATTATTATTATTATTATTATTATTATTATTATTATTATTATTATTATTATTATTATTATTATTATTATTATTATTATTATGTCTTATACAAAAAGAAAAATGAACAGTGAGTGCTGTAATGTCAATAAATGGTTATAATGGACAACCACATTAATAACTTTGTCATTGCTTTCATTTTATTGTTTCATTACCGTTAGAGAGACGGCGGTCTCACTTCCTAACAGAAACAAACGTCCAAAAACTTCTTCAACAGAAAAAAATGTGTTTAAAAAAATAAATAAATAAATTAAAGAACCTGAATCTCACGTTGCTGTTTCTGTTTAGAATCAGTGCTGCATCACAGCTAACTGCAACAGGAAGCTAGAAAAGAAGCCCTTTGAAGCTCAAATGAGATGTTTAAAGAGTAATAAAAGTAATTTGGGGATTTGTTTCCATCTCTTGCTTTTATTTCAGGACTGGAGGACCATTTTGGTAGATAATTATTGGTGGATGACCATATAATGATTTGTTGCTGCTGTCTTACAACAAAGAAGTTGTTTACACAGTGAATATATAAAATTGGGTTTTAGTTACAGAGGCACCCTGTCTAAACTCTTCACTACATGGATCAAAACACAAGGAGCAGGTGGTGGGCCAAACGAGTAAACAGCATGATGAAAAGCAACAGTGCTTGAAACATCACTTGTGTGGTGAAGGAGATAACATTATTTTGGGGCCCTGTGATGTTTCAGCCTTTTATTTTTTTTTCTTTGTACTTTTTCTATTTTCCAAGAAAAGCAATTTGACTGCAAATTATTGCAATTTAAAGGGAAGATAAATCGTATCTGACAGCGTTTGTAAACTCCTTTTCCTGAGCTGCAAGGCCAGACATGTGGGAGTTGGAGAGTAAAGGTGATATCAAAGCAGCTTGCAAGGACAAAGTGGTGAACGTAAAGCACAAAGGCATTTGTGGTTCGCTCAACTCAGTGATTAATTTGAAGCTGAAGCTGCCTCTAATCAAGAATACACTACATTATGGATTTCATGCGACAACGTGCACAACGTGAGGTATATTTTTAATGGAAAGCGCAACAGTGAGACATATAAATGTTATTTCAGTCCTACTCAGTTCCATTTGCTATCTGCCAGAGCTTCTTGATTAGACGGTTTTCAGTCTAGTCAAGGTTACATTTTGCTTTTCATCCCCTGGATCAGATTTTTGAATAACCTTTAATTTGTATAACAGCGGACCCCTGTATGGAGCTAAATACGGGAGAAAAAAGGAGAAACTTTTAACAAACTTTTTGCTCGTGACTTGGAATCATTATATGCCCCATTTTAGATTGGTGAAGCGCTCAAACCTTCTGGGGGAAACCTTGCAGAAGCACAAAGGAATGCATATATAGACACACACTTAGCTTGAATGCCTGACCAATGGATCAGGGCATCTTTAATATATCTTCCTTTGACTTGGTTGCTTTCTCAGAAATTTTGTTTTTGTATTTATTCTTCTTTTTTGTCCCTTTTTTGTCCCTGAAACAATTGTTACAGCTTTATGTGTTACTTAAAATGATGTTTTGGATAATTTATCAGAAAAAAAATAATAACCCCCCTCTGTTTAGTGGTAAACCTGATTACAGACTAAATAACCAGCCATCAGCCATGGAGTATGTGTTTATTTCCACTCACTCCAAGATACATAATCTTTAATGCCTTCAGGTGGCAATCACACTGGCTGCCGAGATAAGACGAACCTTTTTATTAAAGGTATAATGATTTCCGGAGCTTGGCAACACTCTTCTCTTGCGCCTTGTTATTTGGAGCTTCGTTGAATCAGGCCAGTTGCTATGATACAATCTTTTCTGGCTTTCCCTCCAATTGCTCTTTTCTTCACAAAGTACAACAGAGCAGGAGTGCTTGTGAAAGGTTGAGAAACTCATATTTTTGGGCAGTTAATATTTGTCATTTTGATTCAATTTGTGCGTTTTCACATTTTGCTAAAACTAAATCAGGATCACTGGCAAAGAAATACAACACCGGATCTCAGCTTCAATCTGTCTTTGTACCTTCAGGCCTGGGAAGGAAACATGGCATGGTTGGGTTTGTTCCGACATCTATCCCAGCAACATATCCCAGCATTTGGTGTAATGAAATAACCCTGCAAATTTTAGATTGAGTCTTCTGAGAAACCATTCCAGCCTTTCTTGCTCGATAATCTCCTATCAAAGTCATATTTGTCAGCCTGTCATTTTTGCTCAGCTTTTGAAGCCTCTCTTTCAGCGCTCATCTGTGCCTCACTGGGAAAGCAGCCTGGTCACAAGCTTGACAATGTACTGGAAAATACCCAGAGGCTGTTTGGATTCTGCGTCCTGTCGAGTCATTTTTATGATTCAAGCACCGGCTTGTTTTCTCAAATAATCACTATTGAATTTCTATTTAAAAATGAACAAAATAGCAGTCAGTGTGTGATATAAATGTGGGAACATGACAGACGTCCAGTGTTTTAAGTGAGAAAAAAAAATATTTCACACATAAATCCTTAATATTCTGTGCACCTGATGGCTTGAATCTTAATGATGGCTTAACGTTCACAAGACGAAAACCACAGAAAATCAACAATATTCTTGTTGTTAGGAAACTGAGGGGGCCCGGCATGTTCCCTGTTTGGGAGGAGGTGAGTTGCTAGGCTGGATTTAGACCCTGAGCAGGGGCCTCTCTGCTATACGGTGATAAGGTTGAAATCAAATAATTCTTAGTTGAGTGATCTGTAATGTCTGGTAACCTTTGAGCTATCTACAATAAAGAGGTCTTTATTTGGCAGCAGGCACCAGGGGGCTTTTCAAAGATGATAATAGCAGATGTTTAATGACTGGTAAAAATCACTGGCAAATCAATGGATGTGCTTGCATGTCTTGAATTCTGTGATGCATATGGCATAATGAAACTTCAAAGCACGACTCGAATACACAACACCAGAGAGCCCATAAATGGATTTAAATGGATTAGCTGTCAGTGGCGCTAACTAGGAAAAAAAGAGCAGCGTTTTCTAATCATGACCGGCTGCACACCTCACGGAGATATTAATAGTCGCCAAGTAATGTCACCACTAAGTCCTCTGTTCCTGCCTGTGGGCTTTGTTTTCAAGCATTCTTTCCATCTTTGTTTTGCCCTTAACTTATCTGCAGAGATATGAGGCAGGGCGTTCCCATTTAAAGAGGCAGGAGACAGTATTTTTCCAGCTGAGCGGCAGCAACTAGCCTTTAGAGCTGGTGAAGTAGAAACAGTCAGTCTTGTTTTGTGTGTAGTTTTGTCACATTACAGCAATTAGTTTTTATAAAATTTTTAAGTTTATGTGAACTACAATTATTTGATTGTCTGGTGGGGGGGTTCAGATTTTATAAGTTCCTGATCTGTTTTCTAGGCATCATGGAAACATTACATAAAATCAGCCATGACATCAGGAATCATGGGTGGTTCTGGACACAGAGGCCAGTGCCTCTATAGAGCTGGTCCTGGCCAATGATGTGACCCCTGTACTAAGTGGACACTGAATAAATTTCGTATGATGAAATGTGCTGGCCCTTCGACAAATTAAATGTTTTACTTTTAAGGTTTTATTTTACAACTAATTAAAAATTGATGTTTCACAGTTTTAACTTAATCTGCACTGAGACAGAATCGCAGCTTTCATTTGCTTAATTAAGGGTCTGCAGCTTGCCACAGGTGGCTTTTTGGTTCTAGAGCTTATTTAATATATTCAGCAATGAAATGTTTTTCTTTGTCTGTTTTGTTCTTTTGTTCTCTGCCCTCATGAAAAAAATTGTGGCTCTCCTGTAAATTTGATCTAAGACCACCACTGTCAGAATTGATTCTTGATTCATCCCTATAGGAGCAACTTTTAGATGTCTGAAAGTTTCATTTATGTCTGCTTAAGTAAATTATATTCAAGTTTGACTGCAATTTCAGTGGCCAGCCATTATGATGCTTGGTGAGGGAGTTTCTATGCCCTAGAAATTGACATGTTTTAGTGTGAAAGGTGAGAATTAACACACAGAACAAACGCAAAAGGCCTTGTAAAGATGCTGGTTGAAGCATTTAAGCTCATCATCATTCAATGACTTCTTGAAATGAAGATATAATTTCAAAATATACTGCTTGCAGAGCGCTGTGAAGTTTTGTGTTTATATTTATGATAATGTTTAGTTCTATTCATGGAACTAGATGTGTCTCAGAAGATCTGTTGAAATCTGTAACAAGTGTAGTGTTTGACTTTATGGGTTTTGTCATTAGAGGCTGCTGTTCTCCATAATTTTGCCTCTTATAATTTCATCAACCCAAATGTGCACAAAGCAGAATAAACAGTTTACTTTTTCTTCAGTATGCTTTTTAAAAGCTAGTAAGCTCACCATCTGTGTTGACTGCCATCGGCTCTTTTATATTTCTCAAATAAATCATATCTTACAGAAATGAAAACAAAGCCTCTTATTGTTGGGAACAGATCTGTTTTATCTTTCATTGCCAAAGAACATTTTCTTCCCCACATTTGGTTACGGTGATTTTATTTACTTGAGCGATTCTTTCTGAAACTGTTGGATGCTGTCTACCATAGTACTTTAAAATAATAGCACAGTAAAAGCATGAACCTATACGACTGTTGGTTACTTTCTATTGCATAGCATAAACAAATACTAGGGCCTCTGAGCCTTCAGCCCTCATCCTGGTAAATGTACTGAACTTACATAGCACTTTTACAGTCATTTTTACCACTCAAAGCACTTTACACTAGGGCTTGTGACTCGCTCACACCAATACGCAGATCAGTTGGCAATTTGGGGTTAAGTGCCCCAACGTCAACATGTGGGAAGCTGGAATCGAACCTACAACCTTCCGATCGCAAGACGATTACAGCCAAAGTCGCCCTGGAACCATCTACAGCTCTGAAAGTCAAGTTTCTTTTTCAAAAGAAACTTGTTTTATGGGTTGTTGTTAGGGATTGATATTTGTCGTATCATTTATTGTAAAAAAAATTCTTATCATGATGAGAATTTTGATTTATGTTTGTTACAATAAATTCCCATTTATGATGTTTTAAAAAAAAAAACATTCAGTCCATATTGTTGGCTTTAGTATTTTTTTCACTGTTTCTTCAATGAGAGTATTGTTACATATAAATACATTTGAGAATAAGATCATGCGAGCAATTTTAGTGATTCAAATCGTGCTTATTTACATAACTGGTGTCCTGAAAAAATGTATTGCAAACAGATGTTTTGCAGTGCAGTATTTGTGTTTGATGTATCATGCAGTATCAGCCATACAGTTACCTAAAAAATAAGTAACAAATAGATTTTATTATCACTTTTATCGTTTGCACAAAAATATTTCAAAATACTATGAAAATACTATGAATGAATATTGTGATTCAATAATATTGTGATTCATTCAGCCCATATTGCCCTACCCTCGCTGTTGTTTTCGTCCCTCTTGTGGATCTGAACAAAGCAAGACAGTACAAATAAAATTGATGTAAACATCTAAAAATGTAACTTTTAAAAATATTGCATTTTACAAAAGATAGAGTTTTGTTAGTGAAAAAAGATTCACTGCTGGATAGCATTTTTAATATTGTGTGTTCATTACACTCCAGACAAAAACGAATAAACAGATGATCAACAAGCGATAAAAGAGATGAAATAAAGCCTCTCTAATGAGATCACACTACCCTGTAGAAACACTGGACTGCAAGTCATTTGATGGCAGAGCAGTCTCAGATCCGGTTTCGGGTCAACGACGTGGGCCTGAATGTTAAGAAAGCTGAAGATCCAGACAGAAGTGATGGGGTGCAGTGAGAGTCAGAGTGGACGGAAAAGCTATTTTAGGGATGATGTGCCAGGAATGACAACTGTTGTGCCCCTCACTCCCCGCTGCCCCCTCTGCTCATTCTCTAACTCTCTCTACAAATCCCTCTCTCTCTCTCTCTCTTTCTCTCTCTCTCTCAAACTCAGGCCCTTCATCACGCAAAACTTTTCCAACCACAGACTCTCCTCTTCATGCCTCTGTGCGTCTCACGATAAAAATAGAACAATTTTAGCCTTTTCCAAATGAGCTGTGACACATGTGCCACCTCCCCAGCATGCGTGAGTATATAATGTCCAGGAGTACTCTGCTGTCGGAGAGCAGGTCAATAAGTCCTACGGAAGAAGAGAAAAAAAAACAGACATAAAAGGAAATCATTCAGGAGAACAAAGAAGTTGTGTGATTTATTTTTAATATCCAGAGCTGCTCCAGGAACAATCCACTTCTCTCCGCCTCTTTCTGCTCTCCTCCTCTGCCTTTTATCCAGCACTTGCGACCATCCATGAGTGTGACCAACTCCTCTGCCTATCGATCGGAGCGCAGTTTCCACCAGACTTCGTCCTCGACCTCGTCCTCTTGCAACCCTTACATGGAGAAGAGCCGGGGGCTTTTCACCGAGGATTTTGGATCCTTCATGAGGCCTGGGAGTGACTCCTTGGGATTTTCCAGTAAGTTGGGAGGAAACTTTATACCCTTGGGGCTCATTTTGTCAGCAAGAAAAGTTAATAAAGAAAGAATAAAAGTGCAACTAGATCTGTGAAAGCGATTTATTCTTCTTCCAAATGGGTGATAAAATGTGTAAGTGAGGCGATCAGAAGCTAGAGGGAGTTTGATGTGGTTGATTTGAGTGACCAAAAGCTTTTGTATTGGAGACGGCAGAAAAGATGCAGCAGATGCAAACAAAACAAATGCAGAAGTGCAGTTTTTCCTGTACTTCTCTGGCTGAAGTACAGAGTAAGGTCATGTAGCGTTTCACTTTAAAGTGTTTGTTCTTAGACTCAGCAATACCTCCAGGGGGTGTGAACCAGTTGGATGTTACTGCATATACAAAATACAAGTGTCAAAATCTGACATGCGAACTTCAAATAAACACACCCCACAGGCTGGTGTCCTCTATAGGTCCAAGGTCACGGTAGGATTGTTTGAAACTCTACACCTATGCCATCTTATAGGACGGGTACACACTGCATAATTATTTAAAATGCCTGGTTGATGTATTTAAACATCTTGACCTGTAAAGAATGAAGGATTTTTAGGGTTAAGTACAGCATAAATGTAAAGTGGATGGATAAATGTAAAGTGGATGGACAAATGCTTTTTGATTCCCTTTGAAAAAGACCCAATTTGAAAAGTCATAATCACATAAGTGAACAAGACTAAAATAATGTGAATCTTTCCTTACATGCAAAACTTCTGCCTCACTTTAGGCATACCATCTCCAAGGTGAAATTTTGCTCTTACTTTACAATATTTAAATTTTTTATTCTGTTTTTTTTAATATATATATCCTATCTTTGTATGAGTCTATTTGATGTGTTGTCATTTTGCTGCTGTTGCACAGAAATTTTTCCACTGTGGGACAATAAAGAAATGTCTGTTCTTCCATTCTATTCTATGCGATGGTGGCAGCATCATGTTGTGAGGATGTTTGTCTTCAGCAGAGACTAGAAAGCTTTTCACAGTTGATGGGAGGCTGAATGGAGCCAAATGCAGGGTAATGCTGAACAAAAACCACTGAGAGGCTGCATAAGACTTGACACTGGGGTGGAGGTTTACCTCCCAGCATGATGAAGACCTAAAATATGTAGACACAGCTACATTAAGATTATTTACATTAAAGTACATTAATGTGGTCTAGTCAAAGCCTTGACTTAAAATCCGATTGTGAATGTGTGGCAAATCTTCTCTGATGTGCGCTGCCTACTCAGACTTAGTTTAAGCGACTTTTTTAAAGACAGAATAGGCATTAATTGTTGCACATAGTATAGACATTCCCTTAAGTTCTTGCCACTGTAACTGCAGCAAAAGGTGGTTCTTCAAAGTATTGCCTCAGAAGGGATGAATACAAAATCACATTTTGTTTATTTTATTTTATTTTTATTAGAAAACCGTAAATAATATTTTTTCCACTTTGCGGTTTTGCTCTACTTTGCGTTGGACTGTCACATAAAACCCAATGCAATAGAGGAACATTTGAGGCAGCTCCACTTGCAAGGCAAGCATGTCTGAAAGCAGCAGTTCTGGACAGACTCCTGACTGTGTGACTTCACATGCTGAGTATCTAGGATGACGCCTGCATAAGGAATGAGCAAATGGTTGCTGGGTGATCAGAGTCTACACACAACACACACACACACACGCGCATACATGCAGAGAGTTAAAATGATGTCACATACTGAAACTAACGTGCTGTCAGAGTACACATACTGACACCGAGAGCCATGTGATACAGTACTTTAGTGAACCCAGAATCCAGCTGGTTTCTGGGATCACTAAAGAAACTGGATATGCCAAAGAGGAAACATTATTTTCTATTAAAACAAACCAGCTATAATGTTTAGTGGATCAGTTTATGAAGATAAACAAGGAGCATGCATAGTGACAAATCCTTTCACCTCTAAATATTTATTTTTGCTCTTAGCCATATTGTTTTCTACAGGAGCTTCTTTTAGACAGACAAAAGCAGTGCATGTGCAGGAAAAGGTCTATACCACTTTGACAGATCAATATTGGGAAGATGAGCCATTGTTGAGCAGTGCCATGGTGTTTGTAAGGTAAAGACGAAGAGAATGGGGATTTGCCTCATTTATGTTCGGCTGAACTTCTCAGCAATTCTTATCATTCACCTGATTGACACCAGCTTGTTGTTTTAATCAACAAGCACTTTGTATTCCCTTGTAGCTGAAAATGGGCTGTACAAATAAAATGACCTTTACCTTTAACATCACGTCCAGTGATGGCTTTTAATACTGGCTATATGGGGAATTGGGGGGCTTTTTGTTTTAGTTTACTATTACTTTGCTGTTGTTTTCAAGAGTCACTGGTGACACAATTATTGCTGTTGATCCTTTGCGATGATTGCTCTCCTCTGCTCTCCTCACCACACAGATTTTCCATTGAATTAAGGTTTGAGGACAGTGATAAGAGAAAAAAAGTTGACTTTGGATCCAGTGAACCAAGCCCACATACCGCCTGGTATTCCCACAGCTTCACCAATACTTAAAAGTGAAAAGGAGGCTTCTTTCCTGATACTAATTGTTTAATGTCAAACTCATTTGTTAGGAGTACAAAAGTTCAGTATGGTGTAACACAGTTCCAGTGAAGTTGGTCAACTATGCATGTTCATGTTTTTAATAATAGGGCAAGAAATACTTTTTCTTGGTATTCTCCTTTGACAACAAGCTGCAATGTAGCTGATGTCTAGAGCAGTGGTTCCCAAAGTGTGGGGCGTGACCCCTATGGGGTTGTGCAGTGGCATTGCACACTTACACAAAAGTGTTTCACTGTAAAAATGGTTTGTAGTGTGTTTTGTTGCAACCTCAAGTGTGAAATAAACTTCAGTGGAGTTTGAAAACAAAATATGTGTTTAGGTTTATGTCTGGTTGAACGATACTGTGCCCAGTGATTTTTTTTTTCTTTTTTGTGGGGTATTTTATTATGAGCCATAGGGGGGCCCAGGAAATCTTTGGGAACTACTGGTCTAGTGAGTTTTATAGGGAGACCTGACTGAGCTGTCCTCCTTCAGCATCTTGCACAGTTGATGGTTTCAATAAAACTAGGTGTTCCTGATCAAGCAATTTGACCAGAAGTCAAGCTACGTTATGTCAGTCAGTGCATGGTAGCAGAACGAGATTTTTCTATAAGTTCCAACAAAGAGTAAAATTTTTGCTGCAAGAATTATTAATGGTGCCTGTAAATAATGCAATTGGCAATTTTATGGAAAACAGTTATTCCTTCACATGATATTTTTTCCAATGGCACCAATACCTGTTAACATATTTAACTGTAGGCCTACTTCCTTTTAACCAAACATATTTTCTGCTCCTTGTCAGGTGGGGCTGGAAATATCAAAACTATTGACGATTCGTATCAGTTCACAGTTGACGTCCGAGACTTCTCTCCAGAGGATGTGATCGTAACAACATCCAACAATCAGATAGAAGTCCGTGCGGAAAAGGTGAACAGTGTGTTGGATTTTTAGTGTGAGAAACAGAAGCATTGGTCCTTCATAACATCCAATATCTCTCTGCAGTTGGCCCAAGATGGTTCAGTCATGAACACTTTCACCCACAAGTGCCAACTCCCTGAAGACGTGGACCCGACCTCGGTGACGTCGTCCCTGGGCCTTGAGGGGACTCTGACAGTGCGGGCGCGCAGACAGCCGGCTAAACATGAGATCGCACAGACCTTCCGCACTGAGATCAAAATCTAGAGACAGACTGACTTCGTCAGCACAAACTCACCACTTTTTGTGTTTTTAGAGCTAACAAATGTACCTTCGATGGATGTACCTTCGATGGATGAGGATATGATTTGTCATATGTAGACAAATTACCTGTTCCTACATACAGGTTGAAACAAGAGGAGCACATACATGAACTTGCAGGTACCAGGAGAATATATAACTTCACTGACTCACAAACATATTTCAACAGTTTTTTTAAATATCTTATATCCCTGCCACACAGGTACATATCTGCCTTTTGTTTCAGTGACGTCAGAAGACATGAGTCCATGGAAAATGAATATTGTAGCAGACACAAGTTTGTCATAAGCTAATCTGTCCAAACACTGCTAAAAAAGGAGAGTCACAACTTTCACACATCATGTAAAGACATACACAACACAGTTACACACCTCAGCATGACACAAAAAGTGAAACTGATGTCATGACCTAGTTTCTGATTTCTTCAGTAACTACTTCTCTGACCACTGGGGCACTCACAGCGCCTTCAAATTTCATATCCAGATGGTCAGTTGATCCTTAAATATAAACAAAAATAATCTAAATGGTGATGTGTTAACAATAATCACCCCATCCTCACACTGCAGGGCACAGCCTTCATCTCAACACACAGGCCCTATTCAGAATTGATGCACAAATCAGACTCTCATTTCGAATACTAATTCTGATGTGTCGTCCATACTAATTTATTGTACTTTTTGTGTGACAAAAGTTGCAATAAACATGACTACAAATAAATACAGATTTCTGTTTTGCTTTTTCCTTTTTTTTACAGAATATATCATCAAAGATGTCACTCAAATGAAAATAAACTCACCAAATTCTATTTCATGATTTTTTTTTTTTAATTAAATAAGTAACATCAAGCATTATTATTATGTTTCTTCACTCTATATTTTAGGGCATATTTACAACTTTCTCATTTCAGCTCAGTAATTTAAAACTAGAATATATTGATTTTCATTTGAGTGACGTTAGAAAACAGTTGCCCCAGAGCTAAAGCTTATTATGAACACAATTTGATTCTCTCCTCCATCCAGTCTATTACAGTCTGTCTGGTACAAAAAGTATTTGTTGCACAGCACCCTCCAAGCTTATTGCCAATGAGAACAAATATTAAAATAGGTATTTTTTTTATTGCAGTAGCATGATGTAGCTCAAAATGGCTTGGAAAAATAAATATAAAATTACACAGAATTAGTATTATTCAGAGCAACAGTGGCTCTATATATATATATATATATATATATATATATATATATATATATATATATATATATATATATATACAGTTTACATACACTTGTATAAAACATAATGTCATGGCTGTCTTGAGTTCCCAATAAGTTCTACAACTCTTACTTTTCTGTGAGAGTGATCAGAACACATACTTGTTTGTCACAAAAAACAGTCATAAAGTTTGGTTCTTTCATACATTTATTATGGGTCTGCTGAAAATGTCACCAAATCTGCTGGGTCAAAAATATACATACAGCAACATTAATATTTGGTTACATGTCCCTTGGCCATTTTCACGGCAACTAGGCGCTTTTGGTAGCCATCCAGAAGCTCCTGGCAAGCTTCAGGTCAAATGTTTGACCACTCTTCTTGACAGAATTGGTGCAGTTCAGCTAAATGTGATGGTTTTCTTGCATGAACTTGTTTCTTTAGCACTGTCCACATGTTCTCAATGGGGTTTAAGTCAGGACTTTGGGAAGGCCATTCTAAAACCTTAATTCTAGCCTGGTTTATCCATTCCTTTACCACTTTTGATGTGTTTTGGGTCATTGTCCTGTTGGAACACCCAACTGCGCCCAAGACCCAAACTTCGGGCTGATGGTTTTAAGTTTTCCTGCAGAATTTGGAGGTAATCCTCTTTCTTCATTATCCCATTTACTTTCTGCAAGAACCAGTTCCACTGGTAGCAAAACAGCCCCACAGCATAATACTACCACCACCATGCTTGACAGTAGGCATGGTGTTCCTGGGATTAAAGGCCTCACCTTTTCTCCTTCAAACATATTGCTGGGTGTTGTGGCCTAACAGCTCAATTTTTGTTTTGTCTGACCACAGAACTTTCCTCCAGGTTTTATCTTTGTCCATGTGATCAGCAGCAAACTTCAGCCGAGTCTTAAGGTGTCTTTTCTGGAGCAAGGGCTTCTTTCTTGCACGGCAGCTTCTCAGTCCATGGCGATGTAAAACACACTTGACTGTGGAGACTGACACCTTCGTTCCATCAGCTTCCAAATCCTTGCAGACTTGCTTTATGGTGATTCTTGGTCGACTCTTGACCATCCTGACCAATCTCCTCTCGGCAGCATGCAATAGCTTGCGTTTTCTTCCTGATTGTGGCAGACACAACTGTTCCATTCACCTTATACTTGCGAATAATTGTCTGCACAGTTGCTCTTGGGACCTGTAGCTGCTTTGAAATGGCTCCAAGTGACTTCCCTGATTTGTTCAAGTCAATAATTTGCTTTTTCAGATCCACACTGAATTCCTTTGACTTTCCCATTGTAGCTTTTGTGGCTGAGACTAATCACAGGGTCATATGAGCCCTATTTCAATGGGCTCATGAGAAGTGAACAGCTGTAGTCAATCAGAATCACTTACAAGAAGTGAAGAGAGCATTACATTAAGCTAATTTGATTTACACAACTTTCTACATCACCAAAATTGACAATTTATGTTGCTGTATGTATATTTTTGACCCAGGAGATTTGGTGAAATTTTCAGCAGACCCATAATAAATTTATGAAAGAACCAAACTTTATAACTGTTTTTTGTGACAAACAAGTATGTGTTCCAATCACTCTATCACAGAAAAATAAGAGTTGTAGAACTTATTGGGAACTCAAGACAGCCATGACATTATGTTTTATACAAGTGTATGTAAACTTTTGACCACAACTGTGTGTGTGTGTGTGTGTGTTGTGTGTGTGTATATATATATATATATATATATATATATATATATATATATATATATATATATATATATATATATATGTGTGTGTGTGTGTGCGTGTGTGTGCGTGTGTGTGTGTGTGTGTGTCTTGCGCCATCTTGTGGTCATTGTTTGCCTAACAAATGCTCCTACTGCGCCTGCTCGTCCGGCACATCCGGTCGGTCTCTATCAATCGATCAGAGAGAAGAAGATGGCGGTGGATGTTCTGCGCCAGAAAGGATCGATCACCGAAAAACTCGATTGGGTTCGTTTTTTTCTCGCGAGTTAGAAACCTAACGCTCCCACGTGAATCACCGCTGAAGCCGAAGCGAAGAGGTCGTAACAAATGGGTAATTGTGGATTTTTTCTTCTCATGGAACAATGGCGCCGAAAGAGGGCTTAGAGACGGATTGAGCCGAGAAAACAACAAGACGGGCCTGACTCTCCGCTCCGACATCTTGTTCCTCAACTGCACGCGCATGTAGGCACGCTAAATTAATCCCTGATAGCAAAGCTGCTAGGATTGAGGAATTGTAATCGATGCGTGGCACCGTCAAACCTAAACTGTTTACTTTAATGTCTTGTGTTCATGTTCATGTTTAAGCTTGTGTCTAACCACCAGGACAAAAGTTGAACTTATTGTATTGCCAGTGGTAGTTTTGCTGGTGTTTCTCACATTGCGCTCTATGCTTTTGTTGGCTGTGATGTGTTATTGTTAAAACTTTCATTAGCATTAAAAAAGACTAAAGAAAACCTGTATTCATTCTACTAATAGTGTGGTATGAATTATGAATAGGGTTACTACAGGGAGTTCAGAGCAATGGTTGATCAACAATGGTTTTTGCTCCTCTGTTTGCTTTTTAAATGATCCCCAGTGTAACATTTGACTTGTTTACCTGCATGTTTTAGGTTACGTTTGATTTTCTTTTTAGTATGTACACTAAGATGTATATCTATTTTATTTCCCCATTTTAAATTATTTGTTAAACTTGTCTTTTTTCACTTATATTTTTTTTCTTCAGAAATATTTACTATACATTTGTATTTATTTGCCTGGGCTGTGTATTTTCATTCACATTTATACCATTCAGCTTTTTTCTTACACAAATACAAACTCATACAGGGTGAACAATTCATATTAGCTGAAATGATTTCAAGTAAAATTAAGAAGCTTAAGCCTTTCTTTTGTTGCTTCAGACATACAGCTGCTGAGCTCTGTCTTCGCCCTTTGACCCTGACAGCAATGGAGTTCCCGTGGCACAGCGGGGAGGTTCTGGAGCAGCTCAACCAGCAGCGTAAGCAGGGACTGCTTTGTGACTGCACCTTTGTGGTGGACGGCGTGGACTTCAAGGCCCACAAAGCCGTGCTGGCAGCATGCAGCGTCTACTTCCGAACCCTTTTCTTGGACCAGAAGGATGTGGTGCATTTGGACATCAGTAATGCCGCTGGTAGGATCTGGTTGTGACTATTTTAGAAGCAACTATGGCTGCTTATTCAACGGTTCCTAACCAAATCTTGTTTTTCCGTGTTTTCTTTTCCTTCTGTAGGTTTGGGTCATGTCCTGGACTTTATGTACACCTCCAAACTGTGCTTAAATCACAACAATATTGAGGATGTGCTGTCTGTTGCCCACTTCCTGCAGATGCAAGAAATCATAAATGCTTGTTCTGCATATCAGTCGATGTCAAATCAACCTCCATCCATCATAACTCTGGATCTTCCTGATGATCAACCAGGTCTTTAAGTATTTTGACTGTGTTGAGAAACTGAGAATAATCAGATTAAGGCTGCACAATATGGAAAGCTAATGCTGAGAAGTGGGATGACACTTTTTTAAGGCAGTCATATAAAGAGGTTTTTATCACTAAACAGTAGAAAAGATCTGTATTATGTCATATTTTCAAATGTTTTGACATGAAGCTTTTGCTGGACAGCGGAGAAAATAGTAAAACTAACAATTCTGACAATACAGTTTTAAGAAATTTCTCATGAATTGTATTACTATACAATGAATACCAATTGCAGTAACAGTTGCATTTGACATATTGTGCAGCTCTACATCAGATAGCTTCATTTGCTCTGAATGTTGC